TTTTTTTTAATAATTGGCTATTCTAAAAGCATTTGTTTTAATTTCCACAGATTGGTGAGTTTTCTAATTTTCCTTCTGTAATTGGATCGCTTACCTCAGAGAATGTAATTTATAGTTTATCTTTTTAAGTCTATTGCAGCTTAATTGGTTGCCTACTAGATGGTCTGTCATGAAAAATATTCTGTATGTAAGCTGCTGTTATTAGAACAGGTAATGCTCTACATATATCTGTTAGATCTAGTTAGTTTATTCTGCATTCTTTTACTGTGTTTCCTTACTAATCTAGTGATTCTTTTTTTTTTTTTTTGGTGGAACCAGGGATTGAACTCAGGCCCTTGCGCTTGCCAGGCAAACACTTATTCTACTGAGCTATCTCCCCAGCCTCTAATCTAGTGATTCTATCCATAATTGAGAGTGGGTTATCAAAGTCGTCAATTGTTATAGGAATATTTCTCCCTTACATTGTGTCAGTTTTTGTTTTAAGCGTTTTGTATACATGCTGCTGAAGTGAGCACGGCTTCAAACATTTTGATAGTCTATTAACAGGTATAAATCTTTGTATTTGTTATGTCGTCTTGCTGTGTTAAACTTTTTATAAATATTTAACTGCCATAGGCTAGGGATATAGAGTACTTGCCTGGCACGACCAAAATAAAAATTAATGTCCACTTTTTCTCTCATGACTTGATTTTCTTTTCTAGTTCCTTGTTAGGTTTTCTACCTCTATCAAAATAATAGTTTCTATTTTTTTGATAACAGAACTCAAACTCAGAACCTCATGCTTGCCAGACAGGTACTATGTCACTGAGCTATCCCCAGCCCTGATAGTTTCATTTTGCTCAGGGATTATTCACTTGACTTTCCCATCATCTTTAGTAATTTAAGACATTTACATTAAAATCCTTGTCTAGTCCAGTGGTGGCAAACCCATGACGCATGTGCTGCAGTGGGCTTTTTGTAGCTCTGAAAGATTAGCTATTACTGGTCTAATACGTTTGCCTTGAGGTTTTATTTAGAGGTAGTTTCTATTGATATTTTTCCAATTTCAGTAGGCCATAATTTCCTATTTCTTTATATACTAAGTGATTTTTGTTGAACACTTGAACATTTGCATTTAATAGTGATTGTTCTTAGAGTTTGTGTTTTAATTGTTATAGAATATCTTTCTGACAATGACCAGTGTGAAATGTAAACTTAATCTCTCCTCGTGTCTTTTTGTGAGCCTGAACTTTCATCTCTGCCTGCTGATTTGTATTTTCCTCTTCCATATCTATTAGTGGGGGTTTTGTGAGGAAGAGGATAGTTTGGTTTGGCTTGGTTTTGTTTCACCAATGCCAGCAATCAAACCCAGCACTTTGTATATGCTAAACAAGTACTTTACCACTAAGCTTTATATAAAATCCCGATGTGCCTTTTTAAAGGCACTGACCCTTTAAAAGAAAAAAAAAAAAAAGCTCAAAAGGACAAGGGTGGGAGCTACTTCCTCTATGTAAACATTCTAGGAGAAGCAGTGATTCGTTATCACAATACACATACTAGTGTTCATTATTTTTCTGCTGCCTCCTACAAATTATGTGAAGGCTGCTTCAGGATACACATAGCTGCCCACCATGGGGCCCCAGGAGTTGAGAACCGTAGCTGCCACTACGCTAAGAGTTGAAACAAATGTCAGGAATTTGCCTACCAAATTTCCTAATGTTGGGATATGTCAAGTTTTAACTCTTGAATACTATGACCATCCTTGTAACTCTTAAATAGTACTTTGTTCACACATATATGATGATAGGCTAAGACTTTTTTTACCTCATGCTAAGCACATACCCACTGAGCTGTATTTTAGTCTCTGTTTACTAAGAACTAATTTATTTATTCCTGTTTGTCAGAGTAAGAGTCAAAGGTGGGTCATACTTCACCCAAGTATGTGAGAACAACTATTATCTTACATTATATTTCATTATACTTGTTTATCATACTCACTTCATTGTACTTACATTATATTTGTTTTTTTTAATATTTTTCCAGTCTGATATATGAGAAATATTTCCTTATTTGTTTAGTATTTTGTCTTTATTATAGTTATTTCCTGAGTTTAAATTTCCTGCTGTATATGGAGTCCACCAAAAAATGTATACATACTTCAGGAAAAGAAAAATTTATATGCATATTTTAATTCTAAATTTATTGAGGTCGAATGAGATTAATACAAGTTATCTTTGGCCTCTCCAGTTCTTTTTTTTTTTAAACAATGACTGTGCTTTTTTTTATTTATTTATTTTTACATTTATTTATTGGGTGGGTGGGTGGCCAGCTCAGCCCACCTGGGGGCGGGGCAGGCTGGCATGTGGTGCTGGGGGATCGAACTGCAGTCCCTGTGCTTTGCCGAGCTTGTTCCAAGTAGGTGCTTTAGACCACTGAGCCATCTCTCCAGCCCTGGCCTCTACAATTCTAAGAAGAGCTCAAAGTGGTGGTCATTAGCTTCCAAATATTTGTTAGTATGACAAACTGCTGCTTGGGTAGCCTTGACCATTCAGATTGTTGCACATGCATTTTTAATTTCTAGGGGCTGGCAGTGTAGTGGGGTTTCTGTGATATATGACATCCTCTACCATCCACTATACAAGGGTGATGCTATTTTTCTTATCCTGAAATGTATATACATTTTCTTGCTGAAATCTGTATTTGTTCAGTATATTTAGTGAATTCCCTCTTAATATTCTGTCACTTGTTTGGGCATTTTTACTTTTATCTGTGTTTGACTTGTGATTATTATCAATTGACTAAAGAATGTCTTGACCTAGGTTTTGCTTTGTATTTATTTTTTGTTTAAGCTTTTTATTTTGGAGTAATTATACATTGACAGAAAGATTACAAAGCTAATAAAGAGAGTTCCTGCATACCATGTACCCAACATCTAATGTTAACATTTTATATAACTAGCACATTTGTCAAAACTAAGAACTGTCATCAGTACTATAGGTATTTGCTTTTGCTAGTTTTTCTGTGCATGTTTCTTTGCATTCCAGGATCCAATTTAAGATACATTACATTTAGTTTTGTTTATTTAGAGTATTTCTTAGACAGTCTTTCTGTGTAGTCCAAGCTGGCCTTGAATCCGTGGTGATCCTCCTACCTCATTCTCCCAAATGCTGGAATATAACCATATGCCACCATATCTGGATTGTTTTGTTTTGTGTTTTATTTTGTTGTTTTTGAAATGGAATCATGGTATATTACCTTGCTGGTCTCAAATTTACCATCCTCCTGCCTCAGCCTCCTAAATACCTGGGATTACAGACATGTTCCACTGTTATCTGCCTTGTTTTGAATTTTAAATTAATATACTCACCTATTACAAACAACAGTAATAGAATTACTGACTTTCTATAAAGTGCGCACCTTTTATAATATTCCTTGCACTTGGTTCTAGCTCATCTTCTGTGAATTATGTCCATGGCTTAGACTTCATAAAAATTTTGAATATTTGTTTTTGATTCTCTGAGATTTTAAGAGCAAGATGAAAGCTTTGTGCTTTGGCATATGGTTCTTATCATAAATTCTTTTTTTTTTTTTTTTTTTTTTTTTTTTTT